TCTCATGTCATCTTAAACTCCCCTACCATCTGTAGTGCCTGACAGAACCCAAAATTTGAGTGAGGTATTCTCCAGGCCTATGCCTAGGCTGCTGGTTTAAGCTGGAGAAAATAGACACAACTAAACATTGTAAATCCTGTCACCAACCTGGAACCCACAAAAATCCCATTTAATCGCTAATCATCCAACTTGGTGAAAATGATCCTTCAAATTGTCTTCACTTTCTCTAAGGCCTTTTTATCATTCTTCCTCCCTCCTCCACTTTAACAAATTGCCTGTTTCATCAAGAAAATGCAAGCTATAATGTTGTCCCACCAACACTACATATATTACTGCATTTGCACCTGTTCTCTGTGCATTCCCTTCTGAAAAAAATGGTGGTGGTGTCTCTTAGCTAAAGGAATTGTTCATCTTTGCAATGGATTCTTTATTTTCTGGACATATCAGGTACTTAATGCTATTATCCTTTCTCTATTTTCATTTTCACTTTCTACTTGACCCTTTATATAAAAATAAAAACTTAGTAAGTTTTCCCATGTAATAAATATTAAGGTCTCATATAATTAATAATTGAGGAAAAAAGCTTTCTTATAAAACCACATTCTCGCCGAAACCGGTTTCGCTCAGTGGATAGAGCGTCGGCCTGCAGACTGAAAGGTCCCAGGTTCGATTCAGGTCAAGGGCATGTACCTTGGTTGCGGGCACATCCCCAGTTGGGGGTGTGCAAGAGGCAGCTGATTGATGTTTCTCTCTCATCGATGTTTCTAACTCTCTATCCCTCTTTCTTCCTCTGTGAAAAATCAATAAAATATATTTAAAAAAATAAAATAAAACCACATTTTCTCCCGGATACCCCTTTTCCTCTACTCCTTTTATAGCTAAATTTTTGTAATTTCTGCCTCCCATTTATCTCAAAATCAATCAACTTGATTATACTTTTGGTTCTGCCTTCTTTTTATCTCTCAAAATCATTTACTTATTTATATTCCTACTCTGGTCCAAGCCATGATCACCTCTCCTTTGACAATTTCCTATCTTTCCTACATTCACTTTCACCCTCCAGTCTTCTCCACAAAGCAACCAAAATGATATTTTAAAAAACAGATATCAAAATAATAAGTTCTTCCTTAAAAATCACCAAGCTTTTCTCCTGACTTAAGAAAAAGTCCAATTATCACCATTATGGTTTATATATGATTCTATGAATGACCCCCTATCTTAATTTTCTAACTTATCCTGGCTTCCTTATGCCAAAATCGTAAAAGTTTGTTTTCATTGCTGTGAAGTTTCTATGACTTTATCAACTTAACACTCTCTGCCTGAAATATTTCTCTAGGGTTCACCTCCCTGCTGCTCTTATTTTTTAGATTTCAGCTTCAACTCACTTTGTCAGAGAAATCTTTCCTGGTGCTCCCAAAGTAGGTTAAGTCTTCTAGATATATGCTCTCACTGTGCCTTGTAATTTTTCTTTGTGGCTTTCGTCATGGTCATTTACTTGACATCTTGTTAGATATAAACCTCCTAAGGATTTTTGTCCTGTTCAGTGATTAATCCCCAGCCCTCAGCTCCCTCCCTGGGATAGTAGGCATTCATTCATTTATTGAATGGTTGAAAGAAAGGACATATTAAGAATATAAAACATAATAAAACAAATGCTTTAGAGTGAGAACAGACCTTTTTATTCATATATTGAGATAAACTTCAAGACCGAAAGAAAATAATTATAAATCATTCAGCAGAACATTCTTTAAAATTCATTCTTTAACAGAGTTCTCACACAAAAATTTATTTTATGCAAGTCTGATATAACATTAAATATTTTACAAATCAGACATTTCATTTTTAAGTCTAATCATATAATCTCAAGTGCACTATAGACAAATAAATTAAAGATTTCCTTTACCAGTTTCATTTCATTTAACTATTCCAAGGCTTCCATTAAAATTCCACCACACCTTGGAAATTACCTGCAGCTTTTAAAGATACATGACTTAAACTTAAATGGCAAATCTTATGTAGCAATCCCCCCCCCCAAAAAAAAAAACCAAACCAAACAAAAATAGGTAAGAAGCATTTCTTAATACAAATAAATTATACAATATCATTTACGTGTGAGTTTCTTCTCACTGGCATAGTTATCCAACTCTCAAAACAATTCATTTTGAAATTGGTGCTTAAAATGCTCCAATGTCACTGAAAAATCCCTATCATTTTAGAAGTGCTCATAAATGGCAAATATCAGATAGGAATGTCCCGATTCCTGTGCTGAAGTGGAGACTTGTTCACATTCGTGCCGGGTATCTTCTGCTGTGCAGTTACTAGAGAGCTTGGCAACCAGTAATCCCAATTTTCAATAACATACTAAACTAAGCCATTTCAAGAAACACTTCTTACCACCTACATATTTCCAGATTGCTAGATATAGAAAGACACAATTATATTTGAAGTATGGGCCTTACAATAGGAAACTTTTAAAATATGAAAAGCATCACACCAGTGAAATTCTGTGAACTGCTTTCAAAGTTAGAAATAAGAATATCCACGGCTAATGGAAGCTCTGCTCAGTGCAAACTTAGTGTGGTCTAAAATAATCACACATTTGAGGTATTAGCTGGAAAATATATACAGCTATACATGGACACATCCACAGACTGACTATTCACAAATCTATTGGCCCCCAAACCAGCAGATAATAAAATCAAATAATCACGTACCACAGGAAAAAGTTACACACAGGGAACTTACCAAAAAATGAGGTTATGTAATCCTTAATATAAGGAGTATGTTTTGAATTAATGTTTGAGGGAAAATGTTTCCATTTATATGTAAGTACCTATTTAAATAGTAATAAAACGAAAAAGGAAACCTGAATTCTAGGACTGTATTGCCTCCCAGATTATTAAAGGAATATGCAAGAATTCCTTGAATATCCTCATTCTACCCACTTTTTCATTGTAATTAAAAATTACATTAAAAATATTTGGGAAGTTATCAGATGACTCTTCACTGGTTTATAGAAAATTTTATGGATTTTAACTGGGCAGTAACCCATTGTGGCCAAAAGACATGGCTTTTTAGCTATTTAGTCAAGATTAAAATTCTGGTTTACTGTTCATTTTTGGAAGTTTTTCTCTTCTGATAAGAAAAAGAGACTATGAATGCCATTTTAGTTTGTTTCACTTAGTATAAAGATAGTTATATGGGTAATGCTAAACCCAAGCTTCATATGGGGAAGCTAAATGCACTAATTTTCCTTTTGAACCACTTAGTTCTCTGACTTAATACTTACTGAACTGGAAAAATGGTCTGTAGGCTAACATCAAAAAATATTTCATTGCCTTAACAAAAGTGGGAAATTTACTTTTAATGACTATATAGGAATGCATTATTAGGTAATATTAACATGTCAAGTGTATTAAATAACAGCTGCATTTGAAAATAATGGAGATCAACAAAGGAAATCAAGATGTTAATCATTTCTTGGTAACTATTTTATATACTAGAGTAACTGAGGAGTTAATAGGAAGAAAACTTAAGCACAAAAGTGCAATTAAAGAGCTGGAATTTTACATTCCTGTTCTGAGAACACCTGAGCTGACAAAAGACAGAGTGGCTTAATACCTTGGCATATATATGCCTTAAGGACCTTCTTTTCTAACAGATCTTTGTAAATCATAAGTAAGCATGTAATGATTATGAAACAACTACTTATTTAAGCATTCAAATGCAATCTGTTTCTAAAATATAGTTTTCATTTATTAGATGGATTATACTTTGAAATTTCTCATTGTTGAGAATGATCAGATTTCATTAAAATAAATTCTGAAACTTGTAAACTAGCACCTGTCTATGTGAGAACTAAGGAATAAAAAAAAAAAAGTAGAAGAAAAGGTATTATTTTACTTTCCCCCAAATCCTCACAAAGATAATGTTTATGTGTGTGTTGTAAAGAAAGATAAAAATGTAAAGCATTAATAAATATACTTGCTGCCAAACTTCTAAAATATACCAGTAAGAAAAGCTAGTAAAGCAACACTTCAAGAGGGCTATTAGGCAATGATTAAAATGAACAGTACAAGTTTTCAAATGAAATTGCAAGACTCATGTAGGTAAAACTAAGATGACAAAACATTGGATTTTTAAAAGTAGCAAAAAATATGAAAATCTTACATCTTAACACATTGCAGACCAGTAGTTTTATTGCTAGCTTTACCAAGTGGCCAGATAAGTTTCTATTGAACGAGTACAAAAATGTTTTTACATAAATGTTAAAAGCATGCTTTAAAATTAAATACCCAGTGCATTTTGAAGTTACATGTTCTTACAAGCTAGTATCTTTTTAAAGTATATTTTGTAAAACACTGTAATATGAAGTGAGAATTCTCATGATCCGTCCGCAATGTGTTAAAATAGCTAACGTCTTATTTTGTAGAATTAACCAAAAATTATAACACTCTTGGCTGGGCCTTTACACCATGATACAGGTAACATTAAGGACTTAATCTTAACTTGCATATTTTATATGTAGCTTTTGCTGTCAGGCACTCAGTCATTTCCCACAGTTCGAAAATTTTTATCAACACATTTCCCCGAATATTTTATGAAATATAATAGAATGTAGAAAAGCAACTGAAATGTAATACTGTCCAAAAGCCATGTATGACTTCTTAATATATTTCATTTATTTGTATAACTTCATCTGCTTTTTAAAGCCAGGATTAAGAGAAAAAGAATCAGGCAATAGAGTCTAGTCACATGAGCATCAACCACAATCATGTAAATATCCAATAAAATGGAAAAATAGCCTAGCCGATATGACTCAGTGGATAGAGCATCGGCTTGCAGACTGTTGCATCCCAGGTTCAATTCTGGTCAAGGACATGTACCTTGGTTGTGGGCACATCCCAGGAGGCAGCTGATCAATGTTTCTCATTGATGTTTCTAACTCTCTATCCCTCTCCCTTCTTCTGTAAAAAAATAAAAATAAAAATATATTTTAAAAGAAAGAAAAAAATAAATGGATGAAAATTTTCATTTGTAAGTTTTCTGATGCATATGAACTTTCAAAGTTAATTAGAATGCTGTGGCCTTCAAAACAATTCATCATATGGGCTCAAGAAAATATTTAAAATTGTATTTCTTTTAAGCACTGCTATTTTTTTTTAAAGATGGCATTTCTAAAAGGAAGTTAAGCTGTCTAATTTCCCTATGACAATATATTGTTTAGTTTAAACTACTAATTCAACCAAGTATTTCTACTGATTCATCTGGAAAGGGGATACAAGAGCAGAGTTTTTAAAGAATGATCATTTAAAATTTTAACAGATGCTATAAATTGACTACATTCAGAAGAAAAAAAAAAACTTTAAACAAAGGAACACTTTAATTAGCATTCTCTCAAACATAAAAAAATTACCAAAGATGTGGTTCATGTTCCATTAACTGAGAATGAAGCAAAATTATTACTATGTTAAACATAGATTAGAAATCAACTAGTTTCATACCCCATATAGGCACTAAAATCTTCAGTTTCCATCTGATTTTTCAAATTTATATTGTGGCTTTAATTACAAGGAGCTTATTCCTAAAGGATTAACTGAATTCTCAATGGTGAATAGATTTTAGCTCAGAATTTTATAAGGATAACTTGCTATAAGTCACTATTCTACCTGCTGCTATATTTCTGCTCACTGTTGCATGTGGCCAAACAGATCATGCCCTGATCAAATAAATGTGCTGTAACCTACATATATATTTAAGAGTTGGCAATCAGTTTAAAAGGCACAAAGCAAAGTAGTAATTTTTCCTATTATTTGTAGAAGAAACCATTTACTTTTGGATTCTGCTTAAATTATCACCAAGAAGAAACTGCAAATTTCCATGGGGGAGGAGGAAACATGTTAGTTCTCTTCATAAAGTTTAGCAGCTTTCAAATACATATACAACGGTGGGCAAAAGTAGGGTTATAGTTGTGAGTACACAAAACAGTTTATTCTGTTATTATTCATTAATTATATATTATTTATTTGTGTTAATACTGTAAACCTACTTTTGTCCTCCCCTGTCTCTGAACATTTGGGGGCATTTTAATAATAGGAATTGCAAATGACATAAATGCAGTTTACTGTTGAAGCCCCTTTTTGTTTAATATCTATATAGCCATTTCCTCATATTTTCTTTAAAATCTATCAGTATAGCATTTCATTTCTCTGCATGGCTTAGCAATTCATAAAACTAAATAAATAGCAAATTGATATTCTATACCAGTTCATTTACCTCAATATATATTCTGGAATATAATGGCAACATTAAAATAGCAAATAATGCTACAAGATTTTACAGAAAATTAATTTAAATATCTTTTGATTTTTTTCTTTTTGAAAAAGTTTAGTGTTTACACACTCAACATCTAAAAAGTAACATGTAATTTTGTCACAAAATATTTATTCTATCAACTTAAAGTGAAGTGTCTCATGGAGCTAAACACTAAAAGATTTTAAATAAAAAGGCAATAACTTACATATACACAAAATGATCATTTCATAAATATTTACATAATGGAGAAAAATGGAGAATCACTAAAACTGGAAACTACTACAGGTATGATAATCCTTTCTTGAGACATTTTTAGTTAGTAATCGTAAAAGCTTTTAAAATGAGAATAATTACAGAAGCATTACTAAAATATTAGTTAGTTGTTCAGTTTATTACTATTTAAAGGAATAAGTCATAAACAGTCCAAAATTTCAGGGACCAACTATTCAGTTTAGTTTTTAACAACAAATCTTTTTCTTTAGCTCTCATGATGAAACTAAACTCACAGAAAAAATAAATAGTATGCTAAAAGATATAAATAAAATTCCAGTTCATCCTCCTTTATAAATACTGGTCAGCCGCTCCAGTTCTTTGCAGTTGTCCATGCTCAAGGCATCTGCCTTCCTTCGAAGTCGTTCATCACGGTATACTTTTGCTGCATATTGCATATCTATTTCTGTTCATAAACAAAAATATTTTGCTAAGTAAATAATAATTTAAATCAACAAGTTTTAACACAAATGATGTTTCATAAGAAACCCTTCAATGTACTTCTCTTAATTGACTTTTTTTTTTTTTTTAAAGAAAGAAGTCCAAGTGCTACTCCTAAAAGCTACTTGGAAACCTAGCATGTAAAACACAGAATTGCTCTGGAAGAGAAACAAGGATGGAGTCCTGTCAACCTTTTCCCTCTACTCCTGTCCCCAATGGTTTAAGAAGTACTGCTCTAAAGCAGCATCTTGAGTCCATATGATTTTCTGCTGGTGGTTGTTTTTGCTGTGATCTTTTATTAAGGTTTCACATTATTTGATTATTTTCAAAACTTGGAAGTAGAAAACTTTGAAATCTGTTCTGATTTTGCTTGAATTTAATATATATATAATTTATATATATTTTAATATATATTATATAAGTATAATATATTAATTATAATAATATATTATATATTATTAAATTTATATATAAGATATTAAATTATATATATAAAATATATATAAAATATACACACACACACACACACACACACAATAACTGTACTGAAGGAACACAAATGAGAAAAAAAAGCTTCCTCTACAATCATAGCAGTGACTTTCAGCAATAAGTACTTCTGAAGTTGCCTTCAGTATGTGGAATGCATTACTAAAGAAAAATAAATGAAGTAGGTATCAAATACTCTTCAGAGTTTTCCTTATTATTTTCCTGTTTTTCTCAGCTATTTCACTGCTTGTTACCACTTCAAAAGGGTGGCAGTACTTAGAGAAGATTTAACAAAAAAAAAGGGGGAAACAGTGACCAGAGTAGAGGACATCAGACAGGACCACAAACAGAATACCCAAAGAAAGAGTATTTTCTTTCTTTCTTTTAAATATATTTTATTGATTTTTTACAGAGAGGAAGAGAGGATAGAGAGTCAGAAACATTGATGAGAGAGAATCATGGATCAGCTGCCTCCTGCACACACCCTACTGGGGATGTACCTGCAACCAAAATACATGCCCTTGACTGGAATCGAACCTGGGATCTTTCAGTCCACAGGCCGACGCTCTATCCACTGAGCCAAAACAGCTTCGGCTAGAGTATTTTCTATTTTTTAAATATCTTCAAGAAAGATCTTTATTCAATCATTCAGGTTTGAATTTAACAACTAGTATATTTACAAATGAGGCACTTAGAAAATCCATTTGCAGCTGATTCTTCCCAAATGAGTAGTTAACTCAAAGTTCAGAGGGCTAGTGAATGGCAGAACCTAGATTCTGAACCAAATCTTAGTCTAATATTCTTTTCATTACTTTAGATTATTTCTTGTATTTCATAAAACATCTATTTTACCAATTTAAGCATTAGAGAGTGTTAGAAGTGACTCCAAAACAGAAAAACACTGGCAAAAGAATATTCATTGGCCAAAATTCTTTTTTTTTTTTTTTTTTTTAATATTTTATTGATTTTTTACAGAGAGGAAGGGAGAAGGATAGAGAGTTAGAAACATCGATGAGAGAGAAACATCGATCAGCTGCCTCCTGCATACTCCCTACTGGGGATGTGCCCGCAACCAAGGTACATGCACATGCCCTTGTTGGGAATCAAACCTGGGACCCTTGGAGTCCGCAGGCCGATGCTCTATCCACTAACCCAAACCGGGTAGGGCCCAAAAATCTTATTGATGGTATTAATTTGCAAAGAAGATAATCTCATTTTATTTAACTAGTAAAACATTCACTGATATTAACTGATGTTATTCTGAGTCCCTCTCACTTCCATCTTCATTCAAAATCACTATGTACTGAATTTATTGGATTTTATTTTGAAAAATTCAAACCTATCCTCACATTTTGTCAATTTTGCTTTTACTGCCTCTACAATAAAAGCTATTGTGATTGTTGTGGTGGTTATTACTACTTTCTAGAACCATTTGAGAATAAGTTACAGACATCATGACCTTTCATTCCTAATTACTTGAGCATATTTTTCTTAAGAACAATGGCACTCACTTATATAATCACAATACTATTTTTAAATTAAGAAAGTTAACAATGATATCATACCAGCTAATATGTAGTCCACATTCAATTTCAACAATTATCCCAATGATGATGATATTCACTTATTCAACCTAATACTTATTGATGACAACAGTAACACAAATACCATTTAAGTCCTTGCTATATTATGAATACTGTTACAGGCCACATGTGCGTTAAAAAATACTGTCTCGTTTAAGAATTGAGTTCTGATTATATAATAGGCAATTCTAGAACATTCCTTAAGTAAGAAAATCTACAGTAATCACTTTCCAAGATTTTGAATAAGTTTTTAAATGTTAAACATTTGATCAACTTACTCTGTTGTCTTTCTTTCCAGCAATTATCTCGAATATTAGTCACATAATCTTCTTCCACACTCTTTTCTACCTTTTGTAATAACATTCCTTTATATTCATTTTTAAAGTCCTTGTTGACATAATAAGCGACACCTAAGTTTTCTGTCTGCATTTTAATAGTTTGCCCTGATCCACTGCAAAAGAAATGCTTGATCATTATTTTTAATTAAAATTTTACATGCTGATCTACTATAAACCAAGCTAACAAAAGTAATTAAAAATTAAAATTATTGGTAATCACTTATTTACATTATCTCAAATTCACAACTACTACCATTCATGTAATAAAAAAGTAATCATATTTTAATATACTATGTTCTTATAAGTTTTCTCAACTTTTAGTGAATAAAAATCTTATTTGGAAGAAATAGTTATTTCTTCTTTTTAGACCAATGTTTTTAATACTGTAAAATCATTGGCAGTATGATTTTACAAAGTTTCCTATATATTCATTGTATTACACTAAAGTTTTCTAGAATAGATGCTGCATTAAATTTCTTTTATGTACGAACCTCATATATCAAATATATTATGGAAAAATGTTTCATATAACAAATATGTCTACTTAATATTTAACAAACAGAAGAGTGAAATCATTCCCTCCTTAATAACACAAATCTCTGTATGATTAATGACAATTCTATTTTTGTCTTTTAAAGTACTTTTCCTTTAATGCCATTACTTATTACATGAAATTGCTATCAAGTTCAAATATAGTACTGTCCTTATCCATAATGGAACAGATATAAACTAACAACATAATATAAATGTATCACTTGAGTAACTACAATATTTTAAAATTAGACATTTTAAAACCTGGTATACTTGTAGTCACAGAAGATTTGGTACTTAAAAGTTAAAAAAAAATCACAAGGCCTTTTAATGAAAGTCAGATAAAAACAATAATTCTTATTTACAAAACTTCACTTAACTACTTACGATCTGGGATATAAGGAATAAGGAGGATTAGAGACCATCAGTTGGCTTAATAATGACACAAGGATCAATACAATAATGGGCATCAGCTGGATAAACACAGAAAAGCCTCCCTGTAAAAAGATCATCAAAGAATAACAAATTATAACTAGTTGTCAATAATCCAACAGTTGTCATGCATTTTTTAGGGGCCGAAGGGCCATTAGAGATCATTTCAAATCTGCCTGAACATAACAATTTCCTGAGGTGATTCTTAAAAATTTAGCTTTCTGGTGCTTCACTTAGTGATCCTGATTTGGAAAACACTGAAACAACCTGATCTTATTTTACAGAGGAGAACTTCTCTTTTTCACACCCACAGATTCTATCAATAGGCAACAGGCTGCATTTCTACTCTGGATTTGAAGGTAGAGAGAGCACTGGAAGATTGAATGGGAGAGTAGGGGCCCAGGCCTTTTAATTTCTAGTCTAGTGCTCTTTCCACTTCATGTGATCTAATTGCTATATGCAATCAGGTATAACTGTTATATCCAATTTAAGTTTTTCAGTATAAATTCTAAATTCTTTAGGAATAAATGAAAAGTAACCTTCAAAATAAACATACTGCAGATTACCTTCGTTAGAATCATAGAATACCAAATCTAAAGGCTTCATATTGCCCAACCACCCTTCCTGCTCCCTTAATATCTCTAAGGAATATTCTAGTCTCTGTTGAATGACTGGTAAGAGAAAACTCATTACTTTCTTTTAGAAAAACTAGCTCTATTTTCAGACAACTCGAATTGCTTTTCCTGAGCTGAAATTTGCCATTTTATAATTTCTAATCATATCATAAACATACATCTCCTCTTTCTTCTTCTCTTTCATGTCCACTATGCCGATGCTGATGTTGATGGCTATAACCAGCTCGCCCATTTGAAAATGAATGTACACTACCTAGAGAAAATTAAAAGGTTAAATTAGGGAGAGCAATTATGATTTTTAAAAATCATATTTTTTTTACAAAGAAAATACTTTTAGTTTTATTTATATTTGTAATATTTAAATTTTTAAAAATTACCAAAATAATACATGTTTGAGCAGTGAATGTTTAATTGGCTTCTCCTTTTATGAGTGAAGGGTGAAGGGAAATAGGAATGATTCTTCCCAGACTTTGCTTCCTTTCAAGTAAAGTAGAATTCTCTCTTTATGAAAACCAGAATCTAAGTTATTCCCTAATATGCATACACAGAGAACTTTTGTTGTGGTTGCTTGCTTTTATGAACCTTGGGTCACTTCTCTGAAACCCTGCACTCTGCATTTATCAACTAATCACAAATATATCTAAAAATAAAAAATTATTTTTAAAAATAGTTGTAGACTACACTGACAGAGGTAAGCCACAATTTATTCAAATATTCTCCTTCTTACGGATATTCAAGTTGTTTTCAAATAAAGTGACCAACCAGAAATAGCTACAACTGACAAAACAAGCTATACTATAAAGGCAAAAAAAGAACTGTGAAAATACTATCAGAAAATTCACTACTACCAAAAAATATTTAATTGTTCCTAGCATATTTTTATTCTGAATATTTTTTCTGAGATATATATCCTAATATTTAAAAATGCAGGTTATATTTTCAGTCATTAATTTGTATTTACACATTCTCTGTCCTTCAAGGATTCTTTATAAAATGTCCTATCTATGACTACAGTCTTTCTCAGAAAAATTCAGACAGGGCCACCAGACCAAATTATATCGCTGTGTTTATAAAAGTTCTCCTAATTTTGAATAGGATGTTTAACTTAGAACCTTAAGGAAATGTTGTAAAAAAAAAAAGACTGGAGCTTTAATTATAAACACCTAAGAAGAGCTGCTCTTAAAGAAAATTAATTTCCATAAAACAACTCACAGTAAATATAAACTAGCATAATACTACTTATGCTAGTATTATAAAATCTATTCATTTAGTATTACTCTACAATATTTTACCTAGTTCAAGTAATTATTTCTATTCCAATATAATTTTTAAAACCTACTCACTTTTTATATAACTTATAAATCAGACATTTTAATATTTCAATGGAAAGCACTTCCACATATATCAAAATTAACAAACTGTAATATTATAATATATACAAAGATTTCCAGAGAATCAATGTCAAATAGTTATCCACAGCCATAATTGCACTTAACTAAGACATTATCACTGGATTTCCTACTTATATCCTTTCTTCAGCTTTCTATAAAATATAGAAAATTGGTACTCTTCATATTTTCTTTTAATTTAAATTATGTTCTAGGAAAAAGGCAGACTTATAGTAAAAATAATGAGTATAACATTTTTCTTTACTTTCATAAAAAACCATCACAGGATAATAATGCTGTAAGAAATACAGGCAGGAAGGTAGATAAATCACTAAATAGCCTACCCGGAAGTAAGAATCTCTAGCTTCATAAAATATAACACTTATAATTAACATTAAAATACCTGAAGGAAATCCACCACCAAAAAATATATTAAACAAGTCTTCTGGAGTTATATCAGCTTCACAACCTCTATGGAAATTAAATCTACCATTGTTTTGTGGATTACATGCTTGTTCTTCATTGCCTGTGAGGTCATACTGTTTTCGTTTTTCTGGATTGCTTAAAATAGCATAAGCATTTCCAATCTCTGAAAAAGTAATGAGTAAGAGTTGGTAAGCAAAGTTTTTATATTACGAAAGACTGCCCCATATAAAAACTGTTATGTTAACAATAACAAAAACTATTTGAGGCTCATCAACAAAATAGTAAAACAGTAACACTTTCTTGTAAAGATATTATACTTGCTTGCAATTACACATCTTATTACCTCCCAATACAATTCTTTATAGTAGACAATTCTTTATAGTAGACAATTCTTTATTTACTGCCTTAAATGTAAGGAAATGTCCATTTTACTTTCTTACTATTGGGCTTCATCCCCTAACAATCTGCTTCTTCACTTTTGAGTATCCTGATCTAGTCATTCATTAGTGCCATTCAGACCAATAATAATAATAATTAGTAGGTACTACTGCCAGGCTCTGAACCCCAAACCTTATATATTATTCATTATTATGCCCATGGTACAAATGAGCCTTATAAGGCTCAAGAAGATTAGGAAACTTGTTCAATGTCAAAAAAGCTTTTTAGCAAGTTAACTCTATGCAACCTACATAATATATTTTTGTTATTTGCATACTCCAGCCCAGAATGAGTTATTTTTATTCTATTTCTGAAAAATGTATTCCTCTTAAAACTGTAAACTTCATGAGAGAAAAAACTATGTCTATGTTTTTACTGCATTATTCCAGTAGTTCAGTATAAAGTCTAAATTTGTTTTTATTTAATATATATTTTTTCTTTTTAAAAAAATATATTTTACTGATTTTACAGAGAGGAAGAGATGGGGATAGAGAGTTAGAAACATTGATGAGAGAGATACATCGATCAGCTGCCTCCCAATATCCTCATTGGGGATATGCCCGCAACAACGGTACATGCCCTTGACCGGAATCGAACCCGGGATCCTTCAGTCCGCAGGCTGACGCTCTATCCACTGAGCCAAACCAGTTTCGGCTTATTTAATATATTTTTATTGATTTCAGAGACAAAGGGAGAGGGAGAGAGAGAGAGAAACATCAGCGATGAGAGAGAATTATTGATTGGCTGCCATTTGTATGCCCCCTACTGGGGATCAAGCCACAACCTGGGCATGTGCCCTGATGGTTATGAAACCATAACCTCCTGGTTCATAGGCTGATGCTCACCCACTGAGCCACTTTTGAATGAATCCAGATAGTCTCTAGTTTTCCCATCTCATTTTGTTACTTTCTTCATACTTATTTATAAAGAATTCTCTCTCTCATACTCCCATATGAGAGGCAACGATATCAGAGTAACCACTTCATAGGTTATATAAATGTCTTATGACTAGGTTGTACACCTGAAACTAATATAATATTGTATGTTAAATGTAATGGAAGACTTTTTAAAAATTATTTAAAAAAAGAAGCAATTGTACATAGGTTATCAAAATGTCTTACTGTAATTTACAAAAGCAGGAACTACCATTCTGACACTTCTAATAATCATTTAGTATCCTTCTTAAACTAGATCACATAAACCTCTTGCAATATGAGATATTTTAAAAATACTTTTTGAGTCCCTTGTGGTGGCTGCCATAGGTACTGTGCAAGCAAACAGATGCTCATTAGGCAGTTGTTTTGGGCTGATCACCTATCACTGAAATTAATGATACAGATACTCTGGAACTTTTCTTCTGATAGGGATTCTTAAATCTGGATTTCAAAGATATGTCTCTGATGGTATGTGAACTCTAATGTATGAAAAATTTGGTGGATGATCCTTTTATTTGAAGAGATGGTACAAAACTTTCTTCAGATTTCAGACAGATCTATGACTTAGAAATACAGCTATCCTTTATAAAGTTGCTCCAATGTGGAAGCATACTAGTAATCAGAGATCCAAACAAATGTACTGACAAACAACACCAAGGTTTTAACCCATACCTACAAAAAAAGCATAGCTATCAATATCTGCCAAAATTGTATTTCCCCTAATAATATAAGTTTCAGAACTTAATCTTGCCTCATCTCATTTGATCCTCACAGAAGTCCTGAAGTAGGTAGAGAGGAGACTCAGTGAAATCCTATTTTCTTTTCATTATCCAGAAAACAGAGATTTGGAAAGCTTAGAAACTTGACCCGATTAAAAAGAGGTAAGAAATGGCCGAGACCGGTTTGGCTCAATGACTAGAGCGTCGGCTTGGGAACTGAAGGGTCCCGGGTTCGATTCTGGTCAAGGGCATGTACCTTGGTTGCGGGCATGTCCCCAGTGGGGGGTGTGCAAGAGGCAGCTGATCGGTGACTCTCTCTCATAGATGTTTCTAACTCTCTCTCTCTCTCCCTTCCTCTCAGTACAAAATCAATAAAAATATATTTTTAAAAAAATAAAATAAATAAAATAAAAAGAGGTAAGAAATGGTGGACCTTAAAAACGACTTCAGGTTTTCTCACTGCACAGAGTTTAGTCAAACACTGCTACAGTAAATATTTTACTCTTTGTTCTCCCTGCCTAATGTACAATAATAATCTGCTTCGTGTTGACATTTACTGCTGTGTTGCTGACAATTACTTAAAGAGAAGTTGGGGTGCTTCACTGGGCTGGAAAAAGTTTAGCTAAATCAGAAAGCAGGTCTAATTAAACAAGTTTATACTTTATCTATAAAAGGCTAAGTTGACTTGCACATGAACAATACATATAAGGCTCTCACTGCCACCAACTGCACGCGTGTGTTTCAACCTGTCATTGTTGATCATGACTTTGGTTGACATGTCTATTATAGAGAAATGGCGAACAGCGATATTAAAATGTTTATCCTACTTAATTTCCTTTCAATGTGCATAAATTCATGCACTGGGTCACTAGTATTTAATAAGCATTAAATAAAAAACTATAAAATGCTTGCCAAATGTTAAGTATTATTATTATTTCAAATGTAGTCTATGAGACTTGACTCCCCTTTATGAATGACCAATTCTTTGAGTAAGAGGGTGTTTCATATTCTCATATTGTCTATAAGAATTAGGCTAAAGAGCAGAATTGACTTCTTTATGTTTAGAGATACACTCTAGATATTAAAAATATTGTACCAGACCTAACACAGGCAATATCTCTGATCCATTCTTATTTTACAAGCAAACATATGCAGCTAATTCATGTCCCTTTTTATGACATTCATGTATACATAAAAACACACAAATACTATTCAGATAATGTCTAAAATTCTCTAAAGACAATGTTGCTGTTTTGAAAATATCCAGGTCAGATAGAAGGGAAGTATTTCAGTCAATAAATCAATAAAAATCAATAAAATATATTAAAAATCAATAATATATATATATATATATATATATATATATATATATATATAATATTCCGTGCTCTGAGAAACTTAAAATCCTAACTGTAAAGAACAAACAGCCACATGAACTTGAAAGTCCATTTACTCTAACCTCCTTGTTGGAACCTTTTATTTTTAAAGCTTTACAAAACACAAATGAAAATATCTGTACTAATTTAATTCCCTAGACCAATTATCACCCTTTTTCTTTTTTCTTTCTTTTTTTTAATATATTTTATTGATTTTTTTACAGAGAGGAAGAGAGAGGGATAGAGAGTTAGAAACATCGATGAGAGAGAATCATCGATCAGCTGCCTCTTGCACACCCGCTACTGGGGATGTGCCCGCAACCAAGGTACATGCTCTTGACCGGAATCGAACCTGGGACCTTTCAGTCCGCAGGCTGACACTCTATCCACTGAGCCAAACCGGTTTTAGCTATCCCTCTTTTTCTAAGAGGAAATTAAAAGCAAGTGGTTTCATGTTCTGCAAAAAATGTTTTGGTAATTACAGAGGAATCAACCTATATTTACCTATATTTACCTATAGTCTTGCTTAGAAGAAAGAGCTTGGAATCTTCAAAACAGAAGTTAGGTTTGACTGGTTAAAATTAAAGTAAGATGACCCACAAGGTAATGAAAAGATCCCGTGTGCTAGATGAATGAAACTTGTCATTTCTGTATGATGACACTAGATGTAATATTTTCTAATTAACTGCCTTTACTCACCAACTATCTATAGATTACAACTTGGGTTTTCTATGCAGTTTCACTCAATGAAAAATGGGCTCATAAAAAACTCCCTATTCTAATCTTCTTTGTGATTAATTGGCATTCTGATTTATAGATAATCTCCTGCCTACTGAATAATGTAAGTCTTTCCTCTAGAGATAAATCAACTTCTAGCATGTTGGTAAATATTAACTTTCTAATTTTGTAAAGCAGAACATTGAAATCTAAAATATACTAAAACCAAAGTATAACGAATCATCTTCGTTAAACCTCTTCTGGGTGTCTAGCTGGGGAAACATTTATGCTGTTCACCACCTCAAAATACAACACAGGCTATACAAATATTGGTAGATCCACTTATTGTTATTCCAAAACCAATAATGCTAACATGACTTCAGTGCAGAAATGGGAGAAAAAAAGCAGCTTAACTTTCTCAACATGAATAATGATATCACCTAGCAGATCACAAACATGCAAATAACTCACTGCTGCTATGTTTTTAAATGTTTGAAAAACAAAAAATATGCCTTAGCCAGTTTGGCTCATGGGATAGAGAGTTAGCCTGGGGACTAAAAGGTCCCAGATTCTATTCTGGTCAAGGGCATGTACCTTAGTTGCAGGCACATCCCCAGTAGGAGGTGTGCAGGAGGCAGCTGACTGATGATTCTCTCTCATCGATGTTTCTAACGCTCTATCCCTCCCCTTTCCTCTCAATAAAAGATCAATAAAATATATAAAAAGCTAAAAATAAAAAATAAAAATATTGTTATTTTAATTTTAATTCATAATGTGAAAACTTTGCCTTAACTTTTGGGGGCATATATGATAGAGTCAAATTAGTGTTTTTGAGTAAAGAAAAATTTCCTGTACTACCCAAGACACCATTAATTTAAGGAAACAAACAGAGAAGGCTCAGTCATGGTGATTATTTTACTTTCACTTAGTATCACTTTGGCGGCTGTTTTTATTGGAATATATTAACAATCCCCAAACACATTTTGCTTGGCCACTTCCTTTAAGAAATAAAACCATTTGGAAACTGTTTTGCAGGAAAGATCAATTTGAGTCCTCTATCTTTTAGAAATATTTTAAAAATGAGTATATCCTTCCTATTATTCCAAGATCTCAGCATTTATTTCATTGTAAGCATTGTACTTGGCTCTATAAATGCCAAATTCATAAAAACAAATAATCATAAATTTAAGCATTTTCCTATGAACTAGAAGTTAATTATTGAGTGATTTCTATAGAGCAAAATATGAAATTACAAAATCAGTTATTTTATGTTTATTTCCTAAATTGATCCCCAAAAATAATATTGATAAATTAAGACAAATAAAGAGTAGGCCAGACAAATGAAACTAATAATTAAAAAGAAAAAAGTCACATTAGTTAGAACTACATATAAAAAATACAAAACTTGGCCAGAGTTGATAGAAATGTAAAATCAGTGGGCAGATAGCAATTCCAAGTAATTTCCCAATTCTAATACCTTAATATTTCTAATATCTAAAAAACTCACAAAATCTCTATTTTCCTTTTAAATTCCCTTAGAACCAGATGGTAATACGGCACATGTGTCAAACACAAGGCCCGCGGGCCAAATCCGTCCCGCCAGGCCTTGCAATGTGGCCCGCACCGCGCTGTCATCACTGCACTCCGCTGCGTTTCCATCACAATGACAGTTTATGACTGTTCAGTAAACCATTCGGCCCTCGATTTAGGCTGGATTTTAGATTTTGGCCCCTTCTCTGATTGAGTTCAACACCCCTACACTAGAGGCTCATGCATAATCATTACCCACTGTGCGCAGTAAATTAGAAAGCATGCTGCTTTCATGAAACTAAACTGCATTTGTTTGGCTCTTAGAACAAGTTCATAGTGAAGTTTTAAAGGATTTTGAGGATCCTTATGCTGGCTTCTAGGCACCAGACTAAAGGCAGAATTTAATATTCTGAAACACTAACTAACTGGCTTCTAAGAAGAGCTTGGTAAAATTGCTTTAAAGGGTTTACTTTACTTTTAAAAGCATCTGTTGCTCCAGGTGCATGGTTTTTGTCTGGATGAAACTTCAAAGCAAGCTTTCTATAAGCTTTTTTCAAATCTTCATCACCAGCATCTTTGGTAACTCCAAGTACTTCATAGTAATTTTTACATTTGTTTATGCTGTGAACAAGAGAGTGTGTTATAATGAAAATTTCAAGGAAGAAGTTTATGTAATAGCTCCAATGTTTTATTTATTAGAAGAGTATAAAGAACTGTCTGTGGATTGTTTCCTCAATATCAAATGATAGCTTATCCTATTAAGGGTTAATGCTTTCATCTGTTTTTTGACCAGACCATTGCTCCAACTTCTTCCCAGTCTAAGAAGAGTTGACCATGAGAATGTCCTTGGTGTAATTTATCAGAACTACATAGAAGTAAAGCAAAATCCGTAACAACCGTGGGTGAAGGACAGAGCACAAAGGATAAGCATAAAGAAATTCAATAATCCTCACAAGTACATTGCAGCTAAAGAACAGTCTATGTTACACTCAAGAGTTTTGTTGTCCTGTAATGTATACCTAACCAAATATCAAACAACAGTTTAATGCATGTAAAAACAATCACAGCACACTATGGTTTAAATGTCAAGGCAAGTCAATTCATCTTGGCCATGCTAAAGAGAATTCATTGGTGAAAGATAAAATCTCATGATAAAATATATCTTGGGACACAAAAATATTTGTTACTCCCATTTTCATTGTGATAAGCATATTTTTAAAGATTACAGTAAGTCCTCACTTGATGTGGTTTTGTGTCTTAGCAAAATGATGTGTAACAAAACAAATTTTACCATAGGCTAATTTACATAAACAAGAGTTAAGTTCCTACATTATAACATCTCATCAATGTTATAATGAAACAATGTTATAATGAAACAATGTTGAATGAATCATTATACAAGGTCCTATTGTACTTACATAGTTTATAACCCTAAAGATGTAATTGATTTAAAGCCAGAGTCTTTAAAGTATATTAGGAAAAGAAATATAAATGGGACTAAGAAAATTAATACTTTTGGGACTAAATGGGCCTGAGAAAATTAATACTTTTGGATCCTAACATTCTCTCACAACCTAAAAATTTTTATTCACTAAAATCCAGTTACATCATATACATTTTTGTAGCCGACTTTATGACTCTAGATGTGTTCCATGTGTAAGTGGCTTGATGACAGAGGTAGAAACAGGTAAAAAGATATTTGAGGTATAATTGTTCACTGGCAGCAAAAGTATTTCAAACACTGACTCAAAGTTTTCAAAGAAGAGAGACAGGATTGATCTTTTTTTAAACTACTAAATATATTATTCATCATACCGCTTGGTACATGATAGGCTCTCAGTAAATATTTCTGGAATAAATGAGCATAAAGCTCTTCTTTTATAATGAAATCATTTATCATTTAGTTTGTAAAATAGGGAGAAAAAAAGAAAGAAGACCTTATATAACTAAAATTATAGAAATTTTTCCATTATTACAAATTAAAATCTGATACCCAATCCTTCTTTATAATAATGATAATTATAATTAAATTTTTCTACTTTAGATAACAAATATTAACACAAGTCAATTTTATTTCATGAATATGACATTTTCTTTATTTGGTCAATAATATTTATTGAGTACCAACTATGTCCCAGATAGTGTTCAGGCATTTAAGATACATTTGTGAACAAAACAAAGAATGATCCCACCATAGAAGAAACTCACTCTCCTGAATATGATTAAAAACTATGCAATAGAAAAAAGGGGAAGGGAACATTTATAGAACACCTACTGTGTGTCAGACACAGACTTCTAAAAAGAGTATAGTAAAATTGCTTTAAAAGCAGTATCCATGCTCCAATATCCATTAAGAATATCCATGTTCTAATAAGCTCTGGTAAAACGTTAAATTATTCTATTAATAATCTGATTGCAAAAACTTGACTTGAACTCTTAAAGGTAAAATTTGACCTGAACAATGTGAAACTGCTACACAGTCTTTATATATCCCATTTAAGTGAATAGTTGTATGTTTTGTTGCAGAAATGTTTCCGTTAGGGTCCGAACTGCTTACCAGTTATGTAACGTATAATGAATACTTGTTATTACCTTTCTAAATATGAATGATTCAAATTACAAACTATATCTGGTCCACTAAATTTTCACATAGAGAATCGTAGAATCTTATGTTGATTATTTTACATAAATTATCTCGTTTACTCCTCATTAGGTAGATTTTATTTCTAATTAACCAATGAGGAAATCAAGGCTTTGAGAGGTTAAGTAAATGCCAAGTCATATAACTAAGTAATAGATGGGAAGAAACCAGGACTTATTTCTTCAACAAAAATTTACTGAACATCTACTTTCTGCTAAATGCTGTTTCAGAGGCTATAGTGGGGAATAAAACAATACAAAAAATGCCTGCTCACATTCAATTTACAATTGGGACAGGACCAGGCAATGAACAGATATACAAGTAAAATATGAAGTATATCACAAGGTGATGAATATTTAGAGAAAAATAAAGTGGCAATGGGAATGGAAGAGGAGGCCTGCTACAGTGATTAAGAAAGGTACAAGTAAGAATTCAAATATCAGTTTGTACAACTTAAAAATCTTGTTGAGAACCAGAATGAAGAAGAAAAGGAACCTCCTCGGACTCAGAGGAACTAACCATCTCCTTCCTTGCAATTTGCTTTTCTAATAAGAGTTTAAACACACTTTCTTCCCTCTTAAATGTTTTCAAATGTCTTTCTGGTGCCAGAACATGTGTTCTCTGCCTCTGTTCTTGCTTAGTTTCCACCACTTCTTCAAACTCACTTGGCTCTTTCTCTCAAAAAATCCTCAAGACTAGATTGGTAACCCTCTTAGAGCCTCTCAAAGCTCTTGGAACTTAGCCCTATTCCAGCAGTTACCACACTGTACTGCTGCTACCTGTGTACATGCCTGATTAGTCTTTCTAGACTTAGGTCCCTTGAAGGCAGGCACTGTTTCTTATTTACCTTGTGGGCAGGGGAAGAGGGTCTTTTTTCAATTCTTTTTTTTATATAATATAGATGGTTATTTAAATAGATTCCATATTTATTAGTGTTTAAGGAAACGTTTATTCTTGGAGGCAAAGGTTTATTTATTTTATAAGTTTAGCAAAATAATTTCTTTTCATTTAAAGAACTAGAATTTAAGTCATATCCTAATAAAATCCCCATCATTCAAATTACCTAACTGCTATACAGAAGTGTTTTGAATAAATAACTATAAAGACAGTCCAGTTAATGATTTCACACTCATCTTGTTAAAATAGATGGACTTTTAAAAATGAGATAATAAAAATCTTTCATATTAGATCCATGACACCTTTTCCTCAGATTTTCAATATATTTCAACTCAATATATTTCAATATATTATACCTCAACTCATTGTTATGTGTTTAGTTTCACAGAAAGTTACTTTTACAAAGTTATATCCCTTTTTCTTCGGTCTTACTGTAAGCTAGTCTTACTTATGTAATAGATGCAGCATTATTGCATGGCTTCTCCCATTGAGCCAAATTGTCACTGAGCAACTTGTTTGCATAATTGTGCTAACAACAACTTTCTTCTGAAAAATCCCCTGTGTATAGGTAAAACAAAAACAAAAACATACAGCATGTAAGTGTTTGCTGATGATCTGTTAACCTCACTAAAGCAATACTTAGGAAGACTAATATAATGAATAAGTGTTCCATGATTGAACTAATCAACTCTTATAAAGTTATTAACTAAGTATTTTGAATAAGTTAGGGATTCTCTTTAAGAAATAGAGGCCTGGTGCACGAAATTTGTGCACTGGGGGGTGTGGGGTGTCCCTCAGTCCAACCTGTACCCTCTCCAATCTGGGACTCATCAGGGATGTCTGACTGCCTGTGAGATCAGGCCTAAACCAGCAGTCAGACATCACTCTCACAATCTGGGACTGCTGGCTCCTAACTGCTCACCTGCCTACCTGCCTGCCTGCCAGCCTGATTACCCCCTAACCATTCCCCTGCTGGTCTGATTAACACCTTACTGCTCCTCTGCTGGCCTGATAGCCCCCACTGCCTTCCCCTGCCAGCCTGATTTTACTCCCAACTGCTCTCTGCTGCCCATTTGGTTCTGATTGGTAGGTTTCTATGCCAGGCAGCTCTGCTTCCTAAGCAGCCATGGGCTCTTCAGATTTGGTTCTGATTGGTTGGTTCTTATGCCAGTCAGGGTCTCTGGGCCTATCAACAGGTCCTAATCAGAAAAGCAGGGCTGATCAGCAGCCCTGGTGGAGGCCTAGAGAGAAATGGAGATGCGGCCTAGAGCTAAAGAAAGAAGCAAGTACTGATTAGTAGCTGCCACAGAGGATAGAATTCAGACCCTGCTTCTCTCTTCAGTCCACTCTCTGGGCCTGATTCGCAGGCCCAGCAGTCAGTACTGGTCACCATGTCTGTAGCCATAGCAGTCAGCACTGGGTCGCCACGACGACTCAGAGATGCCTGAAGGGCTGACTTTCAGTTGGTCGAGCCTCCCGGTCATTATGGGTGTGACAGACCCAGGGTTTTTATATATTAGGATGTTTCAATCACATTTAGTCCCCAAAGGGGAAAAATAACTAAATTTCTTAATAAAAAATGTATAATAAAATTATTGAGCAGAGAAACAATTTCTAATGTAGGTATACTACTAAGCTAATACTTCTTCCAGATAAGAATTCATGGTCTCAAGCATAGCTGAGTCCCAAATGCTAACCAGCAATCTTTCCATTCCCTCTGCTTTTCTGCTCTGCAAATATTTCATTCTTTTACCATTCTCCTCAAGCTTTCAATCTCATCTCTTTTCTCATAACTCTCAAAAGATAACCTCATCTCCAATTTCAGAGAGTATAGAAGCCAACTGACAGAAACTCCCTCAACATTTTATGTTTCCATCTGGCCAACTCTGACCATATACAAATGTATCTGTACTCACAATCATCTTTCTTTCTTCCACTCTTAAGATGTCCCCTAAATACTAGAACAAAGAGATAACAAAAAAAACAAAACAAAAAAAAAAACAAAAAAAAAAGCATTCTTACCATGTCTCATTTCTACTAAGAGTTTGACTGCTACTATAATGTACTCCTCCCTTCAAAGTTAGAGTAGAGAAAATTTTAAACAAAGATTTTTTTTAAACCAGATTTAGAATATTCCTGTTCGCCAAAAATTTCAACTGTATGTTTAAATTACATTTTCAAATATATAGGTGATTCTATAGTCTTTCTTAAAAAAATCACGAGATGATTCTAAGTAAAAATGACATGTATACAATTAACTTTATTTAGGTCTTTCATTGAGGACATGTTCTCCCCCAAAAGAGCAATTTCTACAAAAAATGAAATTTTTTTTCAAATAGGTATGTTTTCTTGGGAGTGCATTTCAACACATTGGTTAATTAAAGCCTTTTCTTAAAGAAATTCAAAAGCAAGTCTCATGTATTCACTCTCTCACTTTCTTAGCCATCCCTGACAAAATACTATAGTTATAAAAGTGTGGTTAACAACACTACTTATATTCTTTTTCTTTTTAATATGTTTCTATTGATGTTTAGAAAGAGGAAGGGAGAGGGACAGAAAGATATAAACATTGATGAGAGAGAAACATCATTTATCAACTGCTTCCTGTATGCACCTACTGGAGATCAAGCCTGAAACGTGGGCATGTGCCCAGATCAGAAATCTAACCAGTGATATCTTGGCTCCTGCATCGATGCTCAACTGCTGAGCCACAACAGCTGGGCAACATTACTCCTCTTCTTAAAGTGTCTCATTACCATTCATGCTAACCAAATACCCTTTATCACGGCTTTACCATATTAGGGATTCTTTTACATCAAGTTTTAGCATCTAAATATATAAGGAAAAAAGCAAAATACGTAAGAAATTGCTATTTTATTTTAAATTATTTTAATTTCAAATTATGATGAGTAAAAATAGAATAAACTAAAAAGCAAGAATGAAGAAAAAATAAAAGAATAAAAGAGATAAGAAAAGGCAAAAAGACTAACTAGTTTTACCGACTCTTCACTTTAGCTAATTCACTTGATTTAATTCATTCTCTGTGTGAATTACCTGATTAATCACTGTTCAGGGTCCTTTATCCTTATATTTTAGTTTCTCTAAAGAGCAACATTAACACCACATCAATATAGCTTCCTAGAGTTGTAGCAGGAAGCAAAACAGTATTTTCTCTAGTGTGTCATACTCAGAGGTTCATCTGATTTCCAGAAAATTTTTTCTTAATTATAAAACTAGTAAAATCTCTAAAACCCAGTTCATAATTTTTGAACTCTATTTAATTCTTCTGCTTTCAGTGGAAGCGTATCATGAGGTGAAACTAAAACACGCAGAGAAAATAGTTAAAAAAATAAAATTAGAATGTTGGGGGGCTGGGTGAGAAAGGTGAAAGGCTTAAGTGATAATAATTCTTCTATATAATAAAAGCTTAATGCAAATTGTCTGACTGGGAGTTCAACTGCTCACTGTGACGTGTGCTGACCATCAGAGGGTGACACGGAACATGACAGGCATCGGAGAGGCAGTGTTGGCTGAGGGCAGCAGTGGAGGGTTGTTGCCAACCCCAATGGGCCCCAATGAGAGCGGGACCATAGCAGGATGGTGGAGCAGGTGAATGGGCGGGACCAGGCCGAGGTAGGTGCGAGTGGGGGCCCAATCACCCCACTTATTGCCCTGCACACAGTGACCAGCAGTGTAGGTGGAGGGTGGGGCCTCCATCCAGCTCCTAGGTGCTGAGGGAACCAGCTTCAATCAATCACCCTGCAGGTGGGATGGTGGAGCAGGTGACTGGGCAGCACCAGGCAAAGGTGCCAGGCGGGGCTGCGGGGCTGCAAAGCTGAAGAAGACAGCTAGGGCCGGATTCCTACAGGATCACCCAGAGGGACCCCCACCTGTGCACGAATTCGTGCACCAGGCCTCTAGTAATAATAAAAAATAACAACTTATACACACAGACAACAATATGGTTGTTACCAGAGGGGAAGGTGGGTGGAGGGAGGTAGGAGAGGGTAAAAAGGAGGATAAATGATGATCAAAGAAGATGTTTATGAACACACAATACAATCTACAGACAATGCATTATAGAATTGAATACTGAAACCTATATAATTTTATTAACCAACTAGGGGCAATTCATACACAGATTTGTGCCTGGGTCGGGTCCCTCAGCCTGGCTGACAATCGGAGCCAATTGGGGCCAATCAGGGACAGCCAACTGGCAGGAGTGGGCAAGATATCATCCCAATAAATTCACAAAACTTAAAAGAACATTATGCTGCTTGCATATCTATATCTATATCTATCTATCTATCTATCTATCTATCTATCTATCTATCTATCTATAAATCTATATATATAAAAACCTAAGTGAACAAATGACCAGTGGCTATGACACACAATGACCACCAAAGGGCAGCCCAATCAGCCTTGATCTCCATGATGAATTCGTGCACCGGGCCTCTAGTATATATATATAAAGATAACCTTAGTAAAGAATATAAATAATAATCTAGAAGTACTAAAAAAAAAAAAAAAAAAAAGATGGAGCCTTCCACAGAGTTGGTATTGTACAATCTGACTTTATAAAAAATATAAAGATGGAAGTTTATAGACTGATTTTATTTTGTTTATTATTTATTATTTTTTAAATTTATTTTTAATCCTCACCCAAGGATATTTTTCCATTGATTTGTAGAGAGTGGAAGAGAGAAAGACTGAGAGAAATACTGATGTAAGAGGAACACACTAATTGCTTGCCTCCTGCACAAGCTCAGATCAGGGTTCAGACTGGGGAGGAGCCTGCAACCCAGGTACATGCCCTTGACCAAAATTGAACCCAGGGCCCTTGGGTCCGCAGGCCAAAACTCTAGCCACTGAACCAAATCGGCTAGGGCAGTGGTCAGCAAACTCATTAGTCAACAGAACCAAATATCAACAGTACAATGGTTAAAATTTCTTTTGAGAGCCCAATTTTTTAAAATTAAACTTCTTCTAACACCACTTCTTCAAAGTAGACTCATCCAGGCCGTGGTATTTTGTGGAAGAAATACACTCAAGGGGCCAAAGAGCTGCATGTGGCTCGCGAGCCGCAGTTTGCCGACCACTGGGCTAGGGCTACACACTGATTTTATAAAGAACACTAGAAGCTCAGTGCGTGAAATTCCCCAGTCCTGCCCACCCGTGTGTACCTCACTGCACTGGTCTTTGATCGTTATGGCATTAGGGCCAAAGACCTTTAATAATATAGATAAAACATAACATACCCAGAGTTCAATTTCTTAATGTCTATTCTACTGCATTATAACTCAAACATTTTTTAGGTGCTATGCCATTTAAAAATTACATTAGCAGCAACTGTAATTGAAATATGTCATATTTATTCCTACCTGAGAACTCCATCTATTTGGTCTTTGGTGTAGCCTTTTCCATCACCACTACTAGTCATGTTGTCCTTTGTGCAATTAGGCTTGCTTTGATCAGCACTACCTGATGGTTTTCGGCAATGAGGACTATTCCCAGCTGTGCTTCCATTTTTCATAATTATTTCCAATAGGGCTGTAGAGAGATACAAAAAACACTATGTCTGTTTAGGGTACATACACATTATAACTTCTTGAGAAGTTATAAAGTTGATGGATTAAGAATCATTTACTCCATAAAAAATTCTCCATAGCGTCTTTTTAGAGAGCAAGTGTTCCCAATGTATTTAACTGTTCACAGAACACTGATCACAATTTAGAATAACAATAAATTAAAGCTAATAGCTCAAAATTACTATCATTGTAACTTATGGGACTTTCATTTGTCATATTATAAAACTGAGGAATACCAAAGAAAAAGTAGTTGATAAGATTATCTACAAAGAAACATAAATTAGACTTCCTATTCTTTCAACAGCAAAAATGGCAACTAATAGACACTGAAATATCTTCAAAATGCTCAGAAAGAATAACTTTCAACTCAAGTTCTACATTAATTTTCTAAAAAATGCAGATTAGAAACATTTTCAAACAAACAAGACCAAAAATTTTACTTTTAAAATTTCTAAAGGGTATATATATATATATATATATATATATATATATATATATATATGTATGTATACACACACACACACACACACACAGACAGACACACACACTAGAAGCCCAGTGCATGAAATTCATGTGTATGTGTGGGAAGGCTCCCATAGCCCAGACTGTACACTCCAACAGGGTACCCCTTAGGGGAATATCCCCAAGATCGAGCCTAAACCAGCATGCCTGGTGGGCATGCCTCTCACAATCTAGGACCATTGGATTGTAACTGCTCACCTGCCTGCCTGCCTGATTGCCCTTAACTGTTCCCCTGCCAACCTCGTCGCCCCCAACTGTCCCCCCCTGCCAGCCTGGTTGCCCCATACTCCCCCCCCCCCCCCCTCAGCTGGCCTGGTCACACCCAACTGCCCCCCCCCTGCCAGCCTGGATGCCCCCAACTGCCCCCTCTGCTGGCCTGGTCACCCCATGCAGCCTGCTGTTCAGCTGTTTGGTCGTCCCTCACTAACCCTCCTGCCAGCCTTGCTGCCCCATGCAGCCATCCATCCAGTTGTTTTGGTTGTGACAGCCCCTGGCTTTTTATATATTTGGATATTAGAAAGACAAAAAATGCTTCTAGACAGGCTGTAGAAAGAAATGGTGAGCAAATACTTTGATAAATGTATAAGTAAATCTAAGCACTAAGTGTATAAAATAAGCTATTTCTAGAATTTGATATAAATATTGATGGGTCATAAAAGAGAAGGTAGAGAGAATATATAAAATAAAAGATTGGCCACATACATACTCATAATCATTAAGATGTGAAGGTGACAGGGACTGATAACACTATTCCCTCTCCTATGAATTCTTGAAACTTTCCATAAGTTAAAACTATACATTAAAAAAAATCATGCTACTTCACACCTACTAGGATATAATTTAAAAAATGGACAATAAAAAGTGTTGGCAAGGATATGGAAAACCTGGAATCCTAATATACTGTTGGTGAGAATGTAAAATATGTGGTAAAATTTGAAAAATCATTTGTTTGTTCTTTAAAAGACTAAACATATAATTACCATTTGACCCAACAATCCTATCCCTGGGTATATAACTAAGAGAAATTAAAACATATATCTACACAAAAACTGGTTCACAAATGTTCATAACATCATTGTTGATGGGGGGGGGGGGAGAATGGAAACAATCCGATGTCCATCAACTGATAAATAAAATGCAATATTCCCAGACAATATTCCCAACTACTGATATACAGTACGACATAGATAAACCTTGAAAACATGCTAAGTGAAAAAGTCACTAAAGACCATATTGCATGATTTCATATATATGAAACATATAGGACAGGGGGATTTACAGAGATAGAAAATAGATTAGTTATTGTCAAGAGCTAGTGGGACCCTAGCTGGTTTGGCTCAATGGATAGAGCATCAGCCTGCAGACTGAAAGGTCCTGGGTTTGATTCCAGTCAAGGGCACATGCCCGGGTTGCAGGCTCAATCCCCAGTAGGGGTCATGTAGGAGGCAGTTGATCAAGATTCTCTCTCATCATTTATGTTTCTTTATCTTCCCCTCCCTTCCTTTATATCAATAAAAATATGTTTTCAAAAAATGAGCTAGTGGGAAGGGAAGGGTGGAATTAGGGAGAAATGAGTGATTGCTAATGTGCATGGGGTTTCCTTTTGAGGTAAATAAAATGTTCTAAAAGTGATTGTTGTAATGGTTACTTAACTCTGTGAATATACTAAAACCTACTAAACGGTATATTTTAAGAGAATTATCCTATCTAATAAAGAGGGACTATGCTAATTGACCATCAGGCCCTCACAAAGATGGTTCTCAAAGGGAGAGCGCCACTCCTGGCTGGGCTCCAGGCTGGCGAGTGCAGCTGTGGTGGCAGGAACCTCTTTAACCTCCGCAGCAGCAGTAAGGATGTCTGATTGCTGGTTTAGGCCTGCTCCCCACAGGCCTAAGCCATCAGTTGGACATCCCCCAAGGGCTCCTGGTTGTGAGAGGGTGCAGACTAGGCTGAGGGAATCCCACACCTAGTGTATGAATTTTTGTGCACTGGGCCTCTAGTCTACACTAATAAAAAGAGAAACATGCAAATTAACCATCAGTCCACTACGCCAAGCCATGCCCACCAGCCAATCAGGACTGAGTATGCAAATTAACCCAACCAAGATGTTATCCAGCCACAGAGCTGGAGCAAGCAGGAGGCATGGGTTGGCCCAGAAATGAAGGAAGCCAAGCTTCCTGCTTGCCCTGGTCTCCTGCTCAGGCCAGTGCTGTAGCTTGGGCAGGGCTCCCCCCCCCACCCCCACCGCCCCACCCTCCCCCTGCTCTGATCAAGCCCCTGCCGTGGTTTGGGCAGGGCCATTGGCTTTGCTCAAGCCTCCGATATGGCTTGTGCAGGGCCCACCCAGGTCCACTCTGGCCTTGCTCAAGCTTTTGCCACTCTGCCCCCGGCCGCTCAGTGCCAAAACCCATAGGCCATGAATGGCTAGGGGCATTCTGGGACCCTGGCTGCCCAAGGCCTACATGTGGGCCTACAGGCTCTGCGTGGCCTGGATCCCAAGAATATTCCTGGGACCCAGGCCGCTAGGAGCCTGTGTATGCAAATTAACCTGCCATCTTTGTTGGGTTAATTTACATACTTACTCCTTATTTTCTGGTGCACATTGCAGTGGTATGGCCAATTTGCATCTTTCTCTTTTTTTAGTGTAGCTAATAGGGTGAGCAAACATAGGCTTATAGTTGCTAGCATGCAAAATTTTATTTTTATATTTTTATTTATTAATTGTCGTATTATTTGTATTACAACTATAAACCTGTGTTTGCCTACTCCCATATATATATATGCGAAAACTTCTTTCTACCATATGTTCCCCTAGCTAATGCATTTAAGAGGTCACCAAAGACATAAGAAATTGTGTTTTTAAACAATCTGGTAGTAGATGGTACAGAAAGGCTCCTAATTAGACAACAATTTATTAGTTATTAACAAGGTAAGTGTAATATATACAGAGTGTCCCCCCAGAATGTATACACACTATAAAGGCAGTTTATTAAAATACTAGAGGCCCGGTGCACGAATACATGCACAGGTGGGGGTCCCTCGGCCTGGCGGGTGATTGGGGCCATCTTGCCCAGGCCTAATTGGGGCCAACTGGGGCCAGCTTACTGGAGGTGCTGTGAAAGGTTGGCTGGCTGGCAGGGAGGGACCGTGGAAGATTGGCCGGCCATGGGAGGTTGGCTGTGGGAGTGCACTGATCGCCAGGGGCAGCTCCTGATTTGAGCGTCTGCCCTCTGGTGGTCAGAGCACATTATAGTGACTGGTCAACCAGTTATTTGGTCATAATGGTTGCTTAGGATTTTACATATATAAGTATTTCATTTCATTATGTAATAGAATCTACAGCTATCAACTGTTATAGTGTGTATACATTTTTGGAGGGACATGTTGTAGTATATAGAATGTTTTTAACTGCAGTTTCTTATTTAATGCAAACACAATGGTAACTTTGATATCAGAAGTCTGCATGGTCCATGAGGTAGTGGTTCACAACTTTTAAATATGAAAAATTTTATGAGAATTCAAGAAGTAGGCTGTGACAGCAACTTAAAATTTAAATCTCTGCAAATTCCCTTATAAAAACAGAGCAATTAAATAGCAAAATCAAAACCTTATGCAAAATATTTCAAAATACAAGAAGGTGGGAACATCCCACCAATAGGTCTATGTGGTTAGTACAAAGAAGAGGACAGTAATAGGGCATATGATTTTCGACAGAACAAAAGAACTCCAAAATTACCAACAGGGGTTCTATATATTGCATAGTAGGCAAAATTGAGAAAAGTATATAAAAAGGAATGTGTTCTTCTCACTACAATAGAATGTGAGTGAAAGGGTTCATAATAAACTCTTTAGGGCATAGAACACTTCAGTCACTGCAAACTCTCAAAACTAAACACTCAAAGCTCTCTTCTAGAACAAAGCAACACTGAAGAGAAACTACAGGGAAAAGGCCCCCGACTGAAGAGGACAGTGGCAGTAGGAAAAGGAAAAGAGAAACTCTCGGTAACATTGGGAAGGAGAAAGGAGTGAGGAGTTCTTACATAATAAGGTGAACTATTTTCAACCATTACACAAAAAGAAGAAGGGTGTCTGTGTACTCAGAATGGCTAACTACATATAAAAATGTGTAAAAAAAATGAAAGAAATAAAATCTGAAACAAAGTTATTATAAGAAAAAAAGAGAATAAGAACAAAATACACTGAAAGCATACCACAAAGATTTGCTGAAAAACAGGTAAATACTATAACCTACTACTTCAAATCAAGCTGAAGACTTTAAGAAATTAGACATAATACAAATAACATAAATTAGAATTAGGACAACCTCCAAAAGTACCTTTCTATAAGAAATAAAAATCAATTTAAAAAGAATAAATTAGAAGAAACAGGGAGTTATAAACACAACAGATACTATGTTACCAAAAGAAGTAAAACTCTTTT